TCAGTTCCTTTCTTTTAACATCAATGAAGTGCCTGTTCATTTTTAATTTAAATTAGTTTGACATAAATGTTAGTGTTTCCTTTATGGTCTTTTAATGCTTACACTAAACTGTACAGGTCTACATTAGAGACATTTCTGTTACCTATTTCTGAGACTCGGCTGCTTGACTACAATTTGGAAGTGGATGCAAAATCACATGGAGTGTGCTGTAGTTTCTTTTTTAATATGATAGAATGCAAACAGGAGGTATCCACTTTTGACTATGCCGTATCTACTGTTTCAAGATTTAACTGAATTTTGCTCAACTATAATCGTCAGGATATATATGTATTCCAGTTCACATAGGGCACAGGAATATAACAGACTTATCAAATGTTCTTTGATTGGGTACACAATATGAAGTTAATTTTCTTACAAATAAAACTACAATGACAAACATGAACAGCTGTGCTTATTTTTGAGACATGAATTTTTGTAAACAACTTTATCTTTCAAATGTGTTAATATTTACACGGTGTACATTTGTAGGCTGTAATGGTGAACCTGAGGTGACGGCCAACAGAACGTAAATAACAGAAAGAAAGGAAAAACAAAATTGAACGAGTAATGTCTTTACCCTGTGCGGTGTGTGAAGGCTGTGCACACAATCATCCCATTCACTGTTGTAAACAGTCACTGCTAGCTAACATGACTGACCCTGTCTCCGCGGTTACATCATATCATATATATATATTTAAGATAAGATCAGATAACTCTTTATTGTCATTGCACAGTCATACATAGTACAATAATACAATCAAATTGGAAAACTGTCCCACGTCGGCACTACATACAACACGACACGACACAGTAACTTAACTTAGTAATAAAATGAAGAATAAATGTATGTATATTGCACACTGTTATTAATGCACATTAATTTTTATTGCACCTTGTTTTTTTTTTTTTAATAAATATAAGTATTATTATTGTCATTGTTGTTACCCCCCCAAACAAGTCCAGGGAGGTGGCCAATCAGGTCCGCTGTTAGCATTGATTAGGGCTATTGCCCTGTTGTAAAGCTGTCCTTGAGTCTGTTTGTCCAGGACCTCAGCAGCCTGAATCTCCTGCCAGACGGCAGCAGCTTAAACACCTGGTGTCCTGGGTGTGTACAGTCCCGTGGGATACTGCGTGCCCTCTTGAGACAGCGAGTACTTTACAGGTCCTTCAGGGACGGAAGAGGATGCCCAATGATTTTTTGGGCCATATTAATGACCTTCTGAAGTGCCTTTTTGTGTGCCGTGGTGCAGGTAGAGAACCATACAGAGATGCAGTATGTCAGCACACTTTCAAGGGAGCAGCAGTAGAAGATAATCAGCAGCTCCTTCTTCAGGTCCATTTTTCTGAGGATTCTCAGAAAGTGGAAATCAGCAACTACTGTATATCTATACTTTGAGCATTTGAATTCAACCCTCCTCGTTGTTGTTCTGCTGTCTAACTATAATTAAAGTCTTTTCTTTCAGATTTCCCTTATTTTTGATAGTAAGTGCATAGTGGATGTTTTTTTAAAGTCTGTCGTTTAAAAGTAAAATAAACTGCTTTGTCTAGATCTCATCTATGTTTTAATGTACTTCCCTTAAAGCCTAACACATTTTCAGCAACTGAAGATAAATGTTCCAAATATTTGAGGAAAATCAGCTTTGCAAATATTTGTAAAGGTGGTAAATCAATTCAAGAATACAATTCAAGATTGCAAGAATACACAGGAGTTTTTGTGAAACAGTTAACTGCACTGCAGACAATTATGATATCCTCTGTAAATGCCACAGGATATCTCATGTAAAATTGTCGAAGGTGTTATTATTAACACCTACATTTAATTTCCGCTCTAAGAAGTAAAGGCGCAGTTTTTCCGCTCTCACAATGCCAGTAAGTGTTACACATGTTCATTTACCACAGATCGCGGAGTAAATACACTCCTAATAAAGGTTTAAAGCCTCTGAGGTTTTATCAGAAGCAATACTACTTTATACTTTGTTATTAAAGTTAAGATATTCACAAATGTGTTATAATTAGCGGGTTATTTGCTTTAAATTAGCAGCATCATGTTTGGAATAAAGAAAATGCTCCATTCCAGCAAAGGAACCTCATCAAACACCAGTGGTAAGTAAAAGTGGTAGGATTATGTTTTCTCAGTCAAAAATATGGCTTTTAGTCAAAATCTTAGGAGATCTGTCATCTGAGGTAAATAGGGGCACAGAAAGAATAATCAGTAAATAAATGAATCAATTTATAAGGGTTCTTTTTATTTAGAAGTGTTTATTTATCATTCACACCTCGTTAATAATAACATGTAGGAGAGATTTAAATCTGGTTTTCACTCATGTCACAGTACAGAAACTTCTTTACTTAAAGTGACTAATGATCTTCTAATCGGAGCCGACTCTGGTCTTCTCAACATTCTCATCCTTTTGGATTTGAGCTCAGCCTTCAACACTATCTCTCACTCTGTCGTCTCTTGGCATCTCTGACACACCTTTAGCTTGGTTCCAGTCATATCTTCTTGACTGCTCCCATTTTATTCAACTTAAATCATTTCTCTCTAGTCTATTCCCAGTCACTTCTGGTGTACCCCAAGGTTCAGTGTTAGGCTCTCTTCTCTTCATAATATACATCCTCCCTCATGGTACCATTTTCTTCAAATTTGATCTTCACTTTCACTGTTTTGCTGATGACACCCAGTTATATCTCTCCTCCAGGCCTGATTCCTCCCTCCCACCTTCTTCCCTTATAGAATGCCAAACTGAATTAAAATCCTGGTTCAACTGTAATTTTCTAAAGCTTAATGAGGATAAAACTGAAATCCTTCCTATTGGCACTAAATCCAACCTTTTGAAGGCAAATCATTTCTCTCTCACTATCGATAACTCCACAGTTTTCCCTTCACCTCAGGTTAAGAGCCTTGGTGTCATCCTAGACAGTTCACTATCCTTTAAACCTTACATCAATAATCTCACCTGCTCTGCCTATTTCCATCTACGCAACATTAACAGATTACATCCTTCTCTTTCCACCCATTCTATGTCCTATCCTATGTCCATTCTTGTCCATAGTCTCGTTACCTCCCGCCTTGACTACTGTAATTCTCTCTTCCGTGGTCTCCCCCAAAAATCCCTTCATAAGCTTCAACTGGTTTAAAACTCCGTCGCCCGCATTATTACCAGAACCCCCTCCTACCAGCACATTACCACTGTTCTTAAGGAACTACACTGGCTCCCAGTGAAATTCCAGATAATATTCAAACTTCTTCTGCTAACCTTCAAGGCCATTCAGAACCTTGCTCCTCCTTACCTTTCTGATCTGTTAAGCACTACGTCTTCTGCCCACTCAATTCAATCCTTTTCTTCTATCCAGCTTGCTGTGCCTTCTTTCCGCCTCTATTATGTATTGCATGATGAGGAGCTTAATGCAGATTTCTAGGTGAGTTCAACAAAAAGAAAAAAGTAGTTCATAAAAAAAACCCCAACATAAGCAAAAAACACCACTATAACAACAACAAAATCCCCCACAAGACATAAATGACTACAAAAATAACAGGAAATAACACAACAGTGGAATAACACAGAGACAACAGCTAAACCAAGTGACAAGAAAAACTATGGAGACTCCATGAAAACAAAAACATGAATGAATTCAAAGTACACGATCGAATATACAAATACAGGCCATTTATAGGCCATTTACAATAGTAATTAAAACTAAAGCTGTGGAATAATAATTAAAAGCAAACTAAAAACTTTCAATAACAATCAGAAATCACAAATAACCCATCAAGACTCCCAGGCAATGACATACTTACTTATGTAAAATGATGTTTTAGGTCATA